AGATAGACACAGTCAAACAACATATAACTTGTTATCAATATTAACTTTATTGAACTAGTGAATTATTAGTGATAACTAGTACATCCAAACTGACCTGACTTTTGACTTAAAAATGGAAAAGGCTTGTCCTCCATTTCAAAGAAAACTAGCAGATGAAACTGGCTTAACTAGGTAAAATTAATTGGGTACAAATAATTAGAAAGGTGGGTTTGTTTGATTGGGAGTAAAAACTGGTCCAAACTTGAAGTTTCATAACTCATGTGAGCCAAATCAAGTTCGGGCTTCCAAGCTAGGTAAACTACCCATTAAAAGACAAAAATTTGATCATCATGCACCAAATAAAGTTGCAAAGGGAAAGAAAAAGAACTTCACTAATCAAATGAAAAATGGACTAATTTAAAGGGTTTTCTTTCTATACTCTTGACATCCCACTACCTGATAGATTGGATGCCAACTTAAACTTCATTGCTTTGTTAAAATCTTTGAAGGTCTTTTTAGATTTCCACTGTCAACCGAAGGTATTGATCAACCGAGTGGAAAAGAGGAGGAGGGGTTCGTGGGCCTACGAGCACTAGTGGGGTCCACTCTCCACACCAATTGGGCATCCCCACGTGTGCCATAGATACTTTTAAAAGCAAAACAATTTTTTAAACCCCTCTGAGAATTTTTATAATGAGTAGTAAATTTTTTATGTTGAGCAATACATTTATTTTTATTAAAAATTTATGATGTAAAAATTAAAATATGTAATATACTTTAAAAATTCATTTTTTTGACTAATAAATCTTCTAAATTATAAACAAATATAATTAAAAAAAAATTCGATCCATGGGGTCAGGAATACACAAAAATGCTTGGGCACTCTACCTATGCTAGTTCCTGTGGTCCATAATCTATCTTCTCAAACTAACGGACATAATCTACAACTAATCACAGTGACTCATGCTTGGTCTATCAAAATTGGCCAATAAATAAAAAGAACACGGACTTATTTTGTGGATTACAAATTCCCTCATGAGGAGAACTTATGTCTTACATAAATATGTAAATACCATTGCTATGATGCATAAGGCCTCTCTTTAGTACAAATATAGCAAATTTTTTATTTTCAAAAAGTCTTTTTAATAATTTTTTGGAGCTAATGTCATTATTTTCTCTTGGTAATTAACGACTTCAATTTCTTCAAAAAAACAAAATCATTTTTACATGATTCATAAAATTACTTATTGTAATTCAAATATTTTTATTAAGACAATGATAACATAAGGACATACCGATTTTTAATTAAAAAATGCTATGGTGCTAAATATATTTCTAACTAATTTAAAATTTTTCGATTTTTCAAGTCTTTGAAGTTAATTTCATTGCCTTGGTTACCAAAAAAAAAAAGATAGCAACTTTATTTCTTTTTTTTTTTAATACTTTTTAATTTTTAGTATGAATTTTTACTAGCTAACTTCTAGATAATTTGAAAATTAAAGTGTCCTAAGTAAAATATATGATATATGCTACAAAAGTAATAAATCGGCTTTACATCTCTTTGTTTATAATCGAAAATTTCAGCAGGGATACGTGATCCTTGTCTCGTTTTCGGGCATATACTCTTCGAATGGGAGCGGTAGAGAAATGGTCCGGTCAAATTGCCATTCGGGCGAGAGTTAGGCCACAAGACCCACTCTCGCTCGAATGATCGGTAGAGCCGGCTCCGAATACAGTTGAATAGTTCGTGTAGGAATTTCAAAATCGGGGTTGAAAAGGGGAGAATTTGGAAATAGAGTCAGTATGAAATAGAGTCATTGCCTTGTTATCAATAAGGGGAAGCATAACATGCCACCAATGATCTTACCGTTGACGTGATTTTGGGTGGTGGTGTGCTGGGAATTCATAAGTGACAACATTGTGAGCTCCTCTCGAGTGGAATCGGGGTCAGTTAGCACTAATGTTGACATTGCGGATACCACCGGGATGCGTATATCCTGCTGCCATCTGTCTATCTTGGAACTTTACTTTGGGTGGTGATTTCGACCGATCAGAAGTCGTCATTGCTAACAGCAACGTTTAACGATATTGTTATTGTAGTTATAGTTAATAATCGTAAAATCTTACCACATTCCAATATCAGGCAATTGACGGTTAACTCGACCAATCAAAAAGGGACATTATTGCCAATAGTGTTAACGAGGTTGCCACCTTCATCATATATAATGATGAAAAATCTTGTGTTCAGTTTGCGCATTTTGATGTCAGGCGATTGGCAGTTCAGTTGTCATTGTGCCTGCATTTCGAGGCATCTGTTGGCATGTGATTTTGGTGGCCCGAGCAACCGCCTCTTCAACTCCGCTAGGACTATCGTTGCCGAGGTTCTCAACACCACTTGTTGCATAGTTGCTTTGAAACTGGTAGTTACTTCATTCCGGCCCCCCTTAATTCAGATCTTTCCTTGCTCTTGCCCTTGCCCTTGGGGTTGTTGAGGTTGTCCTTTAGGATTCCATGCTCTTGTCGGGTGGCTTAGTTGATAGGGTATGAATCTTTAGGACTCCAGGTAGTTCAAGTCTTAAGGTGCTTATTCCCGGGGATTTTGGTTTTCGTACGGTTTTTTCGATCAAAATCGGGGTGTTTACAATTAAAATTTGAATTTTAAATGCTTAAACTTTAATTGATGCTATTATATGTTCCTCTTTTCCTGCGAGTTTTTAACATATAAAATTTGAGGTTATCTTATAGAAAATTTTCACTTCTTAAAAATAAAATCACAACTAAATTTTAAATGCTCAGAACTCTGATATTTTGACATTTGGGAAGTAAAAATAATAATATTTTTAGTTCCATTGAACATTATATAAGTATATTAACATTGTATAAATAATTATCTTATTTTTAATTTATTTTTATTTTTCATCTACCGCTCCTTGAATTTGTTTTGAAAATATATTTACTGGTTTCTTTTCTTCTTTGAATGTTTTATGTTAGAAAAAAGTTTATATAGATCCGACGCTCTAAACAATCAAATTAGAGCCCACCTCAAAAATTTCACTAGAAGAGGTTGTTTTGATGCCCAAGTATCTTCAAATTGATGATGTTGATATAAGATGCACGGACATAAGAAAAAAATGGATTTCAAGTTTTGGAAATAGTGCATCTTCTAACGCATTCTTGGACCATCAATTTTCAAGATTTTCAAGTTCTCATAGGTCTGAGTGATCTACACTATGTTCTAAGCTTTAAATTTTATAATTAAAGATGAAAATATATTTTAAGGTCATCACAAAGATATCCAATTATTGAAACCACATTTCTCGACACTATTTGAAGGTGCGCTTTACTTTGATTGTTAGAGCATCGGCTCTATACAAACCACACTCTTTATGTTATGGACCCGGTTTCTATGCGCCAACCCGCATATTGTAGAAATGCAAGCTTGGCAATAAATATGTTTTTAAAATATAATTTTATCCTAATTTTTAGAGAATATATAATCTTTAACATAGAGATCATGAATATAAATAAAAAATAAAAAATTTAAAAACTAAAAATAATAATTATATTAAGAAAACATTTGGACCGTTAGTTACACTTGTTTTTAGATGGACCACCTATTTGCATCCATCTTTATGATGGATGCTTTATACTTCTGGACCACATATTGTATAAATATGGTCCAGCGTGCATGACACATTTTTCCTTACGTTATGTTTCTCTTTTTTACTGTGTTTATACATGCAATGCCTATAAATCAAGTAGTTATCCTAAGATAATGGCCTGGGGCCTTGGCGGTAGTATTGCCAAACCCCATGGTGAGGTCTTTGAATCCATTCTTACCAAAGGGTAGGGGCCGAAATCCCCACTGACATACCACTTTTTTGGGGAAAAGGGCTAGGGTCATGATGGTAGCACGTCACACCTAAGCTACTACGTTGTGGTTTCTATTCCTACCACTAACATCACCCCACTAATACTATAAAAAAAACTAACTCTTAATCTACTTGAAAAACCATGTAGGCGCTTGCCTTCCCCACTGAATTACCCCAAAAAAGAAAAATAATAGTTATCCCAAGGGGTCGCCTCCCATTGATACAATCGTTGCATATACATGTCATGTAATGATAATTTTGACGATTTAGCCCTTACCTTCACTACTCTCCAACTGCACATAGGAGACCGGCCACCTCTTGGCTGTCCACCTTGGGCTATCTCAAACCTTAATAAGAGCTGATCTTGCAGACCCTTTACAGTTGTTTCTTATGCCCAAGATTAAAGGATTTTGACTCGACTCTCGGGCTCAAACTTCCCAATTAGCGTGAGTCAATGACATTACAAAGCATGCATATCTGGTCCTGCATGAACCATAGTTGCACTAAATACGATATCACTAGTCTCAAGGTCTTAAACCCTAAAGTATTTTCAACTTTCTCATAAGGCACATCCCTATAAAGAAATAACTTTTCCTCCTCCAGAATTTGGAAATCATTAGGGCTTTTAGATTTAAGTGAGATTGGTTTCACAATACCTAAGTGATTGTTGCAGAAATCAATGGCTGGGTGGATCCTCTTTGTTTGTACTAGGCATGTGTGGTTCCTGTAAAATTGTTTTCTAGAAATTTTTTCAATTTAGGAATTTTTCATACTAATTGGTCTTAGTGCATCTTTTCACATCAATTGACAATTAATTAATGTACAAATATTCCCATACTTACATGAGAGCATTATTTTATATGAAAATATTTTTCGAAAAACAATTTCACGCGAATCAAAAGCAGCAGCGGCATCATTTTTTTCTTGAGCTGTGCATATAGAACGTAGATGCAAACAGAGAATCTGACCGTCCAATAATAATCATGGACGGTTCAATGCAAGACTATTTGATTAAGGTAGTGGGATGGCTTATTTCTCATTTATGACGAACAGAAGCATCTAGCCATCCATTCTTAACATCGTACGAATGAGATACCTGTCTGGATCCGTATAAAAAAAAGAAGTGGGTACCATACTGTAGCAGCCTGTGGTAACATCTAACTGGGCACCAAAAACGGGTATCTTCGTCGTCTAAAAAGTTTCGGACTTCAAACTTGTGACTCTTCTTCTCTCTTCCGTCCTTATGTGACTGGTAATCATCCGAAGAAGAGGAGGAGCGAGAAATAACGAGAAAGAGAGTGAGAGAGGTAAAAAATATGCATTTCTTTGTTTGCTTTTGCTGCTGATAATTTCCTTGATATATTTCAATTCTTCACTTTTAGGGTTAAAAGATGCAGTAGGTTTGGGAAAAATTTGATGACATTTAGTTCTTGCTTGATCTTAGGTTAACCAGAAGAGAAAAGATTATCGGTTTTTTTTTCATAATTAGTACTTTTCCTTCTAATTTTTTCCTTTAAATTTGGCAACTGTAAACATGTGTCCTATTATTATGTAATTTTTAGATTCATAGGGCCTGAAATTCGAACCATACATTAACTCCAACTATTTGATGCTTGTGATTTATTTCATATCTGCTTAGATTATACTCATTTATGTGTCTAAGCTAATCTATGTGGTCACTACTGTTTCTGAATATTGTTGGTTTCTGAGTTCTTGTGTTTTGGGTTATTATATGCGTGATTTGTATAGACAGGCCTTGTATTTGTTAAACAGCAATTTTCTCATTGCTTTTGTTCCATTTCTTGTGTGGAAAAAACACCTTTTTTGCGGGGACATATTGAGTACCATACACTAGTCTTTTCTGTTTCCCAAATCTCAACCAAGGGATGTTTTTCCGCATCAACTCTATGATATATTTGTAGTTAGGGCTTTTAATGTTTCGCAAAAGTTGCTTTTTAGAGCTCTTGAAGAAGCTTAGTTACTACTGCAATATCATTGGCATGGCCTTCATAAAACCCTTTCCATAACTTGAGGTACTTCGTTTGAATTAAATTGGATTGCTTGGATACTCTGTTTGCTACTGTTTATGACATTTTCTTTGTATCTATTGTGTTCTTGGATCTCTGTGTTTTTGAAGCAATTATTGAAATAGTATTGTTCTGATTTTGCTGATTTTTAATGATCTGTTCCATGTACGTGTGTTGATATGCTACTTAAATTTCAGCTGATAGTGGTTCAACACGGGTTGTATGATGTACCTTGTAGAAATTTAATCTTGTGGTGTATTATTTGCATTATGTATTCATAATTATTACCAGTTTCCAATAGGGTTGGAGATGTGGTTATTTCATGAATCCTTGTTCGAAAAGAGTCCCATAGGATTAGAACATTTTGTTTCTCTCTATTGAAGATCTTGACTTGCATTTTCTCTCTAGAAATTGTTTTCTTGTTATATGGGCTCCTACTTAGAAACAATTTTGACATAGCTTAACAGGTTATTCAGCATCCTTGTATGCTTTGGGCACTTTCAAATATTGTATTGGTGTAGTGCAGAAGGTGTTTATCTGGGCAGAAGGACAAAGAGTTAGCCTTAGTTGATTATTCGGCAATTCTTTCTGGACTCTAAGTTTCCTTGTTCTCCTGTTTCTAGTGAGTCCTTTCTTTATTGGGTTACTTATGGTGGATGGTGACATCTTGGGTGTTATTTGTGAGAGATAACAGTCACATGCTCCATTTATGTTTCTTTTGCATATGCCTCTGTGTTTCTACACTGCTCAGTGTACCTTGATGCATATTCTCTGATATCGATGAAATATTTAGGAAATAAAACTTCATTTTTCTTTCTTGCTTGTAGTGTAGCTTGGTTTTTGAGGGACAAGCTTCAATGTTGAAATCAACAACATCCATTTTATTGATTGATGAAGAACCATATGTAAATTGGATCCAAAATAAGTATGCAAGCTCTGGGCAGCAGAGTGTCAGTTAGTAAAGTCTCAAAGAGCCTAAAATACTCTGCCTTCGAAAACCTGAAGCCCCGTCTCGTCTATGCCCATGCTTTGAACAATGGATGGGTGTTCTTTTATGGTTAGCATCATGTTTTCCTGCATAACCAGCTTACAAAGAAACTCTGTAAATCAGAATTAACATTTTGTGTGTTCATAGTGCCTAAGGTACCTAGTGACTTGGTCACCAACCATTGTATACTCACAAAGGACCATGATCCATTGTGTCTCATCTGATTTAAGGAAGGTTGTATTCGGATAGTTAATATTATGGAGAGCTGCCTTACTATTACTTGGAAAAGCATATGAGATGCATAGGCATTACTAGATACAATGCAAGCCCTGGATCATTAGAAACCTTGAGGCCACCAATGTTTCCTATGTTTGGTGCTTCATCTATTGTTCTATGATTATCCTCCCCTTTCAAACTCTGAAGCGCTCTTCCTCCCCCTGGCTGGCATGGATATCCTAACTTGATCAGCTAATAGCTCTGACGGATTCTCGGTTTCCTCTTTCTACCAGTCCTCACTTCCCGCCAATCAAGCCCTTCATCTCTTACAAGGCCTGTCTCACTCCAGTCCCATTGAAGATTCAAGCCTTCATTTGGATTGCCCTGCTTACAAGAGTCTATACTATATATGAGATCCACCGAAGGGTCATCCAGATTCTGACAGATGTGTATTGTGCAAGTAGGGGGAGGAATCCAATGACCACCTCCTTCTGCACTATCCTCTCCCCACCAAACTTTCGGCCATACTCTAGTAGTTCAACCCATGCTGGTCACTTTGGGGGCCACACAAAAGCTCAGTCTTACTTCTCACCACCATACCGCTCAAAGGGCTCTTCCTATGGAGAGCTTCAATTATGGCCTTACTATGGACAATTTGTCGGGAAAGGGATAACCAGACATTTTAATGGTAAGGAAGCCTCCATCCGAGTTATCCAATCTGCATCAATTCCACCACCATTTTTTCGGCTATTTAACAAAGTTCCAACTTGTTCTCCTGTGCACACTTCCCTGCCAATTAGAAGAGAGTTATTAACCACCTCCCCAGGCCCATTATTACAAGATCCAGCCTTTGGTGCCCTCTGGAGCCTGGCTGTATGAAAATTATCATCGAAGATTGCCCCCTGGCAATCCTGGAAGCTCAGGACATAGCGGCATCTTCAGAGAATACCCTGGTAATAACCTATTGACTTTCTCTTGCTACATGTCTCATGGATTCTACAGCAGCTGAAACTGTTGCGGTAGTAGAAAGCCTTAAGAGGCTGGAACCTTCTTGGAATTTCCCCACCCTCATCCTTGAAGGGACTCTAAGAACATTAGCAATGGGCTTTACCAACCAAGCCATATCGGTGGAGTACTCAACCACCTTTATGACTAGGTATCCTTCCTCTGCAGGGAATCTTCGATTGATATTCACCCATACAGCCAGGGAGGCAAACCACATAGTGATGACTGGCAAAGCGAGGGGCAGCAGGGTTTCCCCAGGGCCCTAGTAGCATCTATATAGACACCACACTAACAGCAGTTCCCCAGCCGCCTTATGGGTGCCGCAAGCATCCTGTGAGCTCACCTTCTTACTTCTCTCCTCTCTATCTCCTCCTCTTGGACCTCTATCTGCCTCTCACAGCTCTCTATCTTTGTCTCATCTCTTCTTTCACTACCTCTTCTGTCGTAGTGGGTTTCCTGTCTCTTAATGCACTGTATATAGCATTCGGTTTGCGGGCTGCCCCATTTTATGAAATGTACACATACACTTTATTGATGTACTATTACAGTTGACTATTTCCAAAAAAAAAAAAGCATTATTTGATGATGTGTGTGCATTCTAAACATGTTAATCTTTATTTGATATGCCTTTAAAATATTTTAGAACACTAGTTGTAAAAACTAGTGATTAGTTGTTGAGTTGTATATTTTGTAATATTTCTCACACATGTCGTCCTAATATTTTTTTTATCAAAAAACAATTGCCCTAGTATTTCATTTCAAACTTTTTGAGAAGTGGTAGAATAAAGTATTTTGTCTTATTGTTATGACTAGTTTATTACCAAGGACCAAATTTTCATCTCCATGGGAGGTGTGTGTATTTGCAATCACTTGGGTTCGGAGCTTGATGTAACTTCTACATGTGCACTTCCCTATACATATTCAAAATGTGTATTCTCATATCCAAAGCTATTATAATTACTGATGCACTTAAACTAATTGTTTGACAATTACAAATTATTGTTTGAAATAAATTGGAAGTTTGCATATTTGATTGTATGCATGAATGTGACTACTTGTGAATTTATTACTTTGGATATTCATGCATATATTTGAACATTATTGAAGGTTATCATGGAATTGCATATACTGGTCTAAGAGGCTATTGATCAAGAATGAGGTGACACCTTGAGAGTTGATAAGTATGTCAACTTATTGATATGTCATTTGAAGGGCCTTATGAGACACTGTATAATAAAGGTGGTGACCATTGTTAAAGAATGCCTTATGGAATTTAGTTTGGGATTGTTGTATCTTTGTATAGCTTCCATTACTCTCACTCACCTTGTTTTTTGGTTTATAACATGGGAAACATCCGTGTCTTTTTAGGATTTCTAGTTTCTTGGGCCTGAACTGTATCTTTTATGGCTAAGGCATCGCATATGCTTTACCTAGGCTCACCAAGGTTGCTGCACACTGTTAAGTATCTTGGTATAACATTACTTAGATTAGGTGGCTTGCCATTAATCATGCTCCTTTGTGAGTATATACTGGCAGTTGGAAGAGTCATTAAATTCCTTCGGCACACTTTCATAATGCCAAGTTGCTAACTTTATCTTATAAAGTTTCTTGGAGATCTTATCATTCAGGGAACCAAAATACTCACACTTGTGAGGCAAAATACTCACACTTGTGAGGCTTTTGTGCTTTCAGATTGATGCCCATCAGCATGCAGGGTTTGGAATGCGTGTATGTGTGGTGTCATAACCATATGTATGCATTGCCTGTTCCTGTATGTGCTCGATAGCATGCATCTATGCTTATGGGTGGGAATGTATATTGTGTGTGTGGTATTTTGTGTGCATGCACTTCCTCATGTTGGGTTTCACTTTTGTTGCATTTCTGTCTCAAGTTTATGTTCAAATTGTCCTTTGTCTGTATTTTTTTTGTGGATTTGTTTGTATGATTTAGCCCTCTTTGTTTTGTATCTGTTGAGTGTAGGGGGAACGGTAAGGTTTGCAAGCTTGTATTTATACTTTTATAGTTTTATACAAATAATTATGTTGTACGTGTCATTTCTCAACTGTGAAAACACAATCCATTGTAGAGATGAATGCTTTGCAAAGTTTTCATTTTTGCTTAATGTACACACTATTGGCTATTGCCTATTGTGGTTCCATGAATTGTAGTAGTTCTAAATTGTTTTTTCGCTTTGTAATTAGTTAATTACTGTTTCGGGTCTGTTTATAAAAGCATGTCATCACATGTCAGTGATTTTTGTGGCAGTCTTTGGGCACAATTATTCCTCGAATAGTTTTCTCTAGAAATTTACTGCTCCCGGGCCATTATTAGCTAGAACAATCATTACACATTAATTGTGCAGTTTGATATTCATGTTTATCTCGTAAATTTTATTCATTACTATCACATTTAATGTGTCTGAATTTTGTTCATTTGCAACTCCTTTCAGTAGCTCAGAAAACGACTTGCAGGAAAGCTTCTAAAACTATCATTTGGATGGTTTCTGTTTTCCCCTTGTTTGATGGCGGATTGGATGTCATGAGGCTCATTTTTTATATCCTTTTCTGTTGGAAGTTGGACCTGGTTAATTTTAAGGCTTCCCTCTAGTTGTAAAAGAACAGCCTCAATACTTCTAATTGATGAACCTAGCATTTAGATATCTGCTATATTCTCAAATTTTCATGCCAATCATTTGCAGCTAGCTGAGTATAATCCTCCACATCTGTTTTATAGCTTCACTTGCACTGAAATATTGTCTGTCTTGGGTGTTTTCTGCTGTGATTTTGCCATATGATATGGGCTTTCTACTTGATTTCGTAATTGCTTTCGGATGTTTTTCAGTTATAGTATAACTCCATTAATCATGTGAGGTGTACCTGTTGTATCCATGATAACTATTAAAATAAAATAAAAAATCTCTTTTATAAGCCTATTCACTTTTCTATCTTGTATTGCGGTAGACATTTAATAAGGATCATATTTATAGCCTACGTTCTGCTTCAGAAGTCAATACAATATGCTTCTCTCTTCCTTCCACAAAAACCTTAAGAAAATTAATCTTGTAGTGTATGATATTTTCTAGTGACTTCAGCTACCTTCTGGTGGTGTCCATTGCCCTTTTATTTCTTAATTGGATTAAATCTATTTTGGCTTTCGTTGATTAATTCTGATTTCCTTATAGGATTCATAGTACGACTCATTTAGTTGGGTGTTAAAGATGGATGCTCTAGATTCAGTTGTTGATCCCTTGAGGGACTTTGCTAAAGACAGTGTTCGCCTAGTTAAGAGATGCCACAAACCTGACCGCAAAGGTACAATTCACCACAAAAATTCAAGTAATGAAGAATAAATATTGATTGTTAGAAATATGGTTTCGGTGTATTTTCTTTCTCAGTTTACGAATCATTTTCGTATTCCTTCCCTTCTTTATTGTTTTTTTTCTATCTGCTTATGTTCTATAATCTGGTGCAGAATTCACAAAGGTTGCCTTCAGGACTGCAATTGGGTTTGTCGTCATGGGATTTGTTGGTTTCTTTGTGAAGCTTATATTCATCCCTATCAACAACATCATTGTTGGATCTGTTTAGGTACGATTTTCTTCCTCTTGCATTTATTTTACTAGCTAATAGCACGTGTGTTGCTCTAGTTGAGAAATTAGATGAAATCTAATGTTTAAAATATTTAATCTAAATGAAACATATATATATATATATATATACACTTTTACCTTGTTATTTTTAATTTATTTCTATAATTTTTTAGTTCTCATATTGAAATTTTATTTTTTCCAAAATTAAAGTTATCATTTAAGAATTTTTGGGACCGATTCTCAAACCAGGGAATCAATCCGGTTTGCCTATTCGGACCAGATTTTCGGAAGCCGGGTAGACCCAGACGATCTGATTTTTGAAACACTGCTATAAAGCAACTTAGTTATGCATCATTTGACAAATTAAGCGTTTGCTATTTCTTATGATATATTGGCTTGGATGTGCACAAGGTTGTTTATGCAATGGCATAATTATGGTGGATAGTTGGTGTATTGCATGGTTTTTCGATGTGCCTATAATCGTGAATTTATTTTCTTTATCCTTCTGGAGGGTATAATGATGATTTTGATTGGTTTTTTTTGCTGTGGGAGCAGCCATTTACAGTTTCAAATTACAGAAACGTGGCCGGCTTTGAAGATGCCTAATGATGCAATGCATGATTTGAGTAGCGCATCTACATGGGTGATGAGATGTATGGAGATGACGTTGTTGGGTTTCTGAACTAGGTCCCCTCTTCTTATTCTGAAGCGGTTTTCGGAGTTGGTTTACATGTTTCTGGGACTTTCGTGTGAGGATGATTTGTTCTATTATGGGATTGTTTTTTGGGTACGGTTTGTATAGAGCCTAGGCTCTAAACAATTCAATTAGAGCCTACCTTCAAATAGTATAAAAAAAATGTGGTTTCTATATTGGAAATCCTTGTGATAGGCTTAAGATATGTTTTCATATTTATTTATACAGTTTAAAGCTTCAAAAATTTTGTAGATCGACAGAACTACGAAAACTTGAAAATCTTGAAAATTGACTGTCCAAAAATGTGTTACAAAATACACTATTTTCAAAACTTGAAATATATTTTTTTTCTCATGTCCATATTTCTTGATGTCAAGATGATCAACATCAAAACATCTTCTAGTGAAATTTTTGAGGTAAGCTCAAATTTGATTAGTTAGAGCCACGGCTTTATATAAACTCTTCTTTTTTTTGTTTAGGGTGAAGTATGTATAGAGCCAAGGTTCTAAACAATCAAAGTAGAGCGTACCTTCAAATACTGTCGAGAAATATGGTTTCAATACTGAAAATATTTGTGATAGAAAAAATAGTGTAGATCGAGTAGATCTATGAAAATTTGAAAATTGACGGTCCAAAAATGCATTACAAGATGTACTATTTTCAAAACTTGAAATTCATTTTTTTCTCATGTTCATGCATCTTCATGTGGAGATGATCAATTTGAAGATATTTGGGCATGAAAACATTCTTTTAGGTAGGCTCTAATTTGATTGTCTAATGCCTTGATTCTATATAAACTTTTTCTCTTTTTTTAGAGAAATTAATTCAATATACAAAATAAAGTACCGGAAGTTTAGAACATCTACCAAAATTGTGGTGTGAGTGGCTTTCCATGGGATATGGGCCTCAAAACGATTTTCTAGATCTTCTATGTCAAGGGTCTCTCTCACTCTCTTTCCATTTGGATGACTTTCTAGATCCATTTTGTCGAGCATGATCATTGAGATTGGATTTGAGCGACTGGTCTGATCGATTAGACTGTCAAATTGTATTTTGGTTGGCTTGATCAAAAGTAAAAGTTGGATTTAGTTAAGAGATTATATATAATTAGACCATTTACTTATTGTACAAGATCACAATTGCTTATAACCATCTGATATCCAAATTGATAGCTTGAGTGTGTTATGAAGTTCGAAAAAATTTCATTTGTAATTTTGTGCTTAATCTATGGAATAAATGCAACCGTTTTGTATAAAAAGTAAATGGATTCATTGAATATCAATTAATGTTTGATTAGTATTGAGAAGTCAAAATTACTAGTTTTGATTGACTCGACCTGTGAAATAGAGGGGTAAAATTTTTATTAGCACATTTTATATTTTATATAATTTTTATTTTTATTCTCTTTAATATTCAGTGCACTCAATTCGATCGGTAATCAGTTTGGTTTTAATTGGATCAGACGGATTTTTAGCAAAGTCAGTCATAATAACACGCGGTCTCTCGTGGGTAGTAGGTGGTTTAGGTCTCATTTCTTTGCATTCATGTTCTTCATGAGTGCATTCGAACTATTGTCGAATCATGTCTATTCATTGATCAGGCCGTATTGGATTGCATTGGATGTGAAATTGGGTACATGACATCTTCTCATTGGGGCGCAACTATAAAAAAATATTAAAAATAATTTTTTGATAAAATATAATGACCAAAATACTCCTTAAAACTTTTAGGGGTATTTTGGTCATTTTATTTTATTAGAAATATTTTTTTATATTTTTATCTAGTGTGAGTTTAATAGAGGATTGGACGTCCAAAATTTTAGTATCAAAATAGTTTATAGAAAAAACGTTAAAAATAAAATAGTGTAAGATGTGACATTGTGATTGGGGCAATCTTAGCCCTCCATTCAGAATCGAGGGTAGGATAAAGGGAAATATATAAGTTTTATGCTGTAGGAGAAGCATAGAAAGCTTGCCCCCAAGTTATAAAATTATTGTTCAAACCTTTACTATAGGATTGAAGTTAAGTACATCACAATGCAAAGACCCGAATATGTGTGGTCCATCCAAAATATTGTTGCATATATCAATGAAATAAAAAAAATACAAAATAAAAATACAAAAGTAATCAAACTTCTCTAGATATAAAGAAAATAACAAAATGTTAAAGAAAATTTGAAGCTCACATTGAATTCCTAGCTACCCAGATCTTTAGTATCATTGAATCTCTCTCTTGTTGTTTACAAGGATGACATGGCTTTAAAGAAAAAAAGGATTTTTCATTGAATTTTGAGACTTATAATTGTTTTGATATATTTTTTTTTTTAGGAAATATAGTGCTTGTATCTTTTCATACACGTTTTTAAAGGAACATATAAGTAAAAACTTTTATGGAACCTTTTGTTCAATTAAGATTCTTAATTTTACTCCCACTATTAGCGTGCTTATTTTTAAACCACAATTCAATAATATTAAATTAATGAAGAAATAAAGTTATAAAGAAGGAATTTTTTTTTTGAATTTTTTTAAAAAGATAAAATGCAGGTTTATATTGGTTTCATTAAAAAAAAACGTGATATTTTTTTAAGATCTTTTAAAAAACTTGAAGTCTTAAATATTTCAAAAAATCATATTTTTTTAAAATAAAATCATGTTTTACGCCGAGACTCACCAACTATGGGTACAACCATTCTACAAGTTATTTACCCCGTTTCCTTTTGAAGCAGGCTCATGCGGGAGCAAAAATTTACAAAAACTCCCTCGGGAAGGAGATTTCCCAATAAGGAATTTTTTTTTATCCTAGAGTTTTGATTCCATTTGAAAATTCTCCTACGAGTTTTTCAAAAATAGGAAAATATCTCTTCAAATCTTATTTTTATATTTCATTTCTCTATAGATTAAAGATTTTAAAACCAAAAAATATCTCTTTAGACTTCATTTTTTGATATAATTAAATATTCAAAACCTATCGAAAGGCATAGATATTCCGTCTATTGTATTTTTTAACCCCTGACCAACTCTCATCCATTTTTTTAGCCGAATAAAATTTTTAAAAAATGCCATTTCTAAACCTCTTGTATCTGCACGGGGTTCTCTCCCCTTATGAATCTCCCAAACCCTCTCTCTCTTTCCATATTTTTCCCGACTCTTTCTCTCTCAGTCTCTCTCCCCACATTGCTTATTCTCTCTCTCCCCGTGCTTCCCGAAATGCATCATTTTTAAACCATATGGATTTGGTCGAATTCATTCAACAATTGTTCATCAACTTTGTGTTGATAGAGCTTATTGTAGTTGAAGGCGCTCGATTTCTCGTCGCCATGAACTAGAAATGGAGACCAATAGATAGAGATTGCGAGGTTATAGAAATTGAAGAGCCATCTCCTGAATTTCTTTTTGTGTCACTGTATAGGAGTTCTGGTGATGGAGAAAATGAAGAGAGGAGACATATGTGGAGACTCAAGCTGGTTCCTCGCCATCAAATCTTCTGAAATAGAGAGAGAAAGAGAGGGATTGAATTTGGGGAGGGGGCAGCCATGAGAGGGAAGTCATTTCCAGTGTCGATAACCCGTATCAGGACGGCCAATGGCCATATTGTTCTGGTTTTCTTTAATGGTGGAGCACGTGGTTCCATTTTAGAGATGGGGAGAGGGGTTAGCTACCCATTTTCCTGGGAAGATATCACATGATGGTGTATCTACCTCTGTAACAAGAGATTTTTGGAAAATGTGGAGAGAGAGAGAGAGAGCTAGAGAGAGAAAGATAGCTAGAGAGAGAAAGTGACATACCTTTGTTGGGGTGTGGTGAAAGAGTGAGATACATATGGGGGGAGAGAGAAAAAGAGTTGAGGAGCACAGGGAGAGAGAAAGAATGGGGAAATAGGAAAAAGAGAGAGGGGTTTGGGAGATTCACGGGAGAGAGTTGGAGAAAAGAGAAAGTTGGTCTAAAAAATGATATTTTTTTAAAATTGTTTTGGCTATGGGTAAAAAGGAGTAAAGCTCTAATAGAAGATATTATTGCTAAAATTTCTGACTCGATAAATAGATTTTGAAACTTTGGATCCACATAAAAAATGAAATTTAAAAATAGTACGTCATATTTTCGTTTTAATATAAAAATAGCATTGAATAATAAGCACTTAGATATGTCCGTCTCAAAGTCGCATCTATGTACAACCATGGGCTAATTTAAAGTGTATAGGTAAGTGTGCGTGGATGCATTTTTGAGTTTTTTTCAAATGAGTTAGCTTTTTATGCTTTCTCTAACGCATAAAACTTATATACTTCCTTTTATCCAACTATATATTTTGAATGGAGGGTTAAGATTGCCTCAATCACAATGTTACGTCTCTATATTATTTTATGTTTAACTTTTTTTCTATAAACTATTTTGACACTAAATTTTTGACATCCATTCTTCTATTAAACTTGCACTAGCAAAAATATAATAAAAATATTTTCGATAAAATAAAATGATCAAAATACCTCCAAAAGCTTTAAGGGTATTTTGGTTATTATATTTTATCGAAAAAATATTTTTAATATTTTTTATAGGTACGCTTCAATGAAAAGATGACAACGTACCAAAATTTCATATCCATATAATTTGTATAAAAAAACTAAAAATAAAATAATTTAAGAGATCTAATATCAAAAAGTGGATGACTCCCTTGATCAAAATTGAATGGCTTAATACTAGGGGAGGATAAAACTTCTACCCTAAAGAACTATAGAAACCTTTTCCTTTTCAAATTGATCAGCACATTAAATCAGCTTTTGCGAGAGGGAGCAAATATGCAATTTGGTCCTACGAGCATGTAATCTTTTCACTTTTATCATGTGAAACTTCTCGAGAAAGCCGTACTACCAGTTTTCAAAAGTTCACCGATCGAATGGTAAAATGGGCGTCTTAACCCCTCCCTAGAAAGCGTGTTCTGGACCACATGACGTGGCTCAAAGACCGTATTAAGCCCGGCTGGACTTAGCTAGGGCCATGCCTGGTCAAAGCCAAGCTTGGCTAGGACCAGTACTATACAGACTAGGGCCAGGCAAGAGCCTAGACCCGGACCCTTACCAGCCCTTGAGAGTCACTAGTTGGTCTCGTTTTTGCCCCAAATTGAACGGATAGGTTTGAGTTGAACCAGGCGATTCCGCCGCATAAATTGGGAAACATTAGATTAAGGGAGAAATCAGATTAATTTTCCGATGTGTTTATATCTGGGCTCGTTTCCTGGGAGAATAGCTTATAACTTTGGCTCAATGCTCTCTCAAAAATACTTTGCCTTGATGGTTTTTTAGCTGATCTACAAGAACTATAGCAAATTATCTTTTGGATCTAAAAACTTGTTCGAAGAAATCAAGAGATAAAGAATGCAAGGTTTCTTTTTAAATGATTGATTTAACAAATGTGCTTGTTTAATAAAACACTTTTTTTAAAAAAGATCAGGTTAATTGTGTGTATGTGTATATATACGGATTGCCTACAATGAGATCATTTATCTTGGTACTAGAAGGTCAATGTGAAATCTAACAACTTGGATGTGTCACAAAATTTAAGAAAAAAATCTTTTGAACTTTGAGCTTGGTCAATAGAATAAATACAGCCACACAATTTCACATCTAATGGTCAAGATTAATTGTGACTGCCTTGTACTAAAGGTAAATTATCATATTATACATTTTTTCTTACACACACATATGCATATGGGTTACGTTATATGACCATCAATGATCAAGATTAATTGTTACTTTCTAGTATCAAAGGTAAATAGTCACATTATATATATAGTAATGATCCTATAGGACCTCCCCCACCCATGTGGACCTCAAAGGAACATCACTAAAGTTGGCACGGATCTCTAAAAAAGTTATCACATCGGTGTGGGACTTGACTTTTCTATAATTCCATGCCAAATTTAATGGTGATCCTTTCAAGTCTTAAACACATGGGTGCAAGAGGGTCCCATAGGATCAATT